ACGGTAAAACGACTTNTTTTTTTTTTTTTTTTTTAAGAACCAACAATTTTTTTTGCGCTCCGGCATCGACACTGTTTTGTTTATTCTCTCTGCATACCACACAACTCATCTGTTAGGATTGTCATTCTTTTTTCTTTTTATAAATTATTCCTCTTTCCTGTTCATGTATGCATGCCTCTCAGACTTCCTGTTGTTTACGTTCTGAAGAGTAAGGCGGGGAGGAGCACTGCAGAATAACGTGATAAGAAAGCAACACCCCATTGCAAAGGCAAATGTACACCGAACAGCTGTGATGCAAAGCCGTGATAGCGGCAAGCGCAAGATGCACTCACACCCCGGTGCCTTGAATTATAAGGTTCCCACTCTTGAGGAAATACCCAACACGGACTTCACGACCTTTTTCCCTGTCACGTTTCTCTCCACCATTCTTGTATCCTGCTATTGATGCACTTCTGCTGTTTTGCCTCTGACTGGCGCCGTATTTCTTAACCAGCACTACACCATTGTAGGCAACGATGCTGTCCGTGCCACGAAAGCGTTTGACGCCATCACCACCTCGTCGATGATAAATCGTGCCTGAAATGTGCTCATTGATGCCTCCATCGCTTGCGTCCTTGTGTACATTATTCTAGCATTTACGGCGGTGTGGTATCTGCGGCGCGTTTCAATGGGGCCCATTGAATGTTCAATGGGCAAATTGTACGGTGCCTTTGCGCATCTCAGCAGGCCCCAGTTGGAGCGTGTGCCCCTATACGTGAACGACCACAGTGACGTGGATGTGGCGACGGAAAAGCATACCTTTCTGCTTGAACGCTACTCCAGCACGTGGAAACTCCAACAGGTCGTGCATTCCATGAACGACCTTTTGTTGGTGCTCCGCCAGTTTCGAAAATTGTTTTCTGATGCCATGCTTCACAAGAAATTTGCGGTGAAATTGAAAGTCGCGGTGCATGGTGACACGACGGTCTTAAGGACATTGCGGCACCATCCAGTGAGTAACCTGGGTACGCTCATTTTAGTGTGGATTTCTTCCTTGCAGAAAAAGCCCCGTCTCAATTGGCTTATCACCCTAAGGCCGAAGAAGAGATTGGCTCACTCTGCGGCAGGCACGAATGCCGCAGATGTGGCGCTTCAACGCGAGGCTTTGAAGGGGCAGGTGGAAAACGAAATTTCCCAAGGATATTTTAATACTTCTGAAATTCACACTTCTTTCCGGATTCGTCTGAGAGCAGGACAGGTTACCGTCGTGACTAAATCCTTGTCTTGTCTCGCAGCGTACATGTACAACGACATGCAGTACTGCCATTACTTTTTGCAACGATTTCTCTCTCTGGTGACAGAGCTCATTAAAATATATAATGGGATCAGTACTGAATGCGACACCTGGCACAGTGATTGCGATATGGAATACGTTTACCGATAATTTGGATCACTAAAACGCTGGGATGTTGTGTGCGAGTGTGATCACCCTCGCCCTCGAGCCCCAGCCCACGGAAGTAATTGTTCCCATAAGACTGGAACTAACTCATGTCGTGGTGGCAACTTCAGGCCACGTTTTGACTGGAACTGTTGGCTCAGAAGAGGAATGCAGTATAGTGTGGTGTATGGGCGATATCTGCCCCTTGCAGAGGAATTGACCTTCTTGTTGATTGCGCAGGGTGTGGAATGTGCGTGTACAGGGAGTTTACCTGAACATTGCCCGGAGGTTGTTGTGTCTATCCCAATAGACTGTGTGACAGATTTTGACAATAAACGACATGTCATCTACGACATTGTTCAGAATCCTGTTCCCTCTCTCCACCGATTTATAGAGGCCTTCAAACAGTTTCAGGCAGATGGGTATGATATTACGGAGCGCATCTATTTGGACCTTGCGGGAAAAAGCTGCAGGGGTGCTTGGGCCCTGCGCATGGGTCAGCTATGCTCCTTCCTGAAAAGGATCGGGACAGTGTACAAGCGACGAGTTCGTAAGTGACAAGTATTTTTAGTTGAGGAGCCTGACATCAACACAACGATGCAGTGGCATAGATTCTTCTACCACTGGAGGAAACCGGAGTTGCCCCCCGTTGAGGATCAACTATGAACTGCCATACTGAGGCAGTCAGACACACACACACACACACACACACACAAGCTCGGCGATGACTTTTGGTGAACTCACCAACCGCGACTGACCTTCCCCGTGGGTGGCGATCAATCCGCGGCGAAAACGTGTCCTCTGTTTCCAGAAGGGCCAAGCCAACTTCCAGTTGTTGATGTTCGAGATCGACAAGGCATGATGTTTCGAATGCCTAACCCCATCCTGGGCGTGGGGAGAGAGGGAAGTGTTTCTATGGGCTTATCGTAGACCGGTGCACTGGTAGCTATCAAGGCAATCCTACTGCCCACAATGGGCCACTTGCAATCGAGTCAAATGAGAGGTGTCAATCGTCGACACCTGTGCCGAAAAAGGCATTCACGTTGACGTGAACGTAGATGAGGCGCCAGATGCCATCATTAATGATGTAGGTTTGCTCTCACGATTGCGCCGTCCACAAGATTGTGGGATACATTTCCTGCGCCGTAGTGGAGAACAAAGTTCTTGTTGTGATGAACTTTGCGAGCGATGGAAGCCTCTACAACATGCTGCGTAGATACACCAAGTTTAAGGTTGATCAAGCGAAACAGTACCTGCGGGATGTCTTGAAAGGACTGGCTTATTTGCATCGAAAAGTCATTTTTCATCGCAACATAAAACCACAAAACGTTCTTTTCCTGGAGACGGAGCTGTGCAAATTGAGTGACTTTGGGACGTCGAAACGTCTATTGAAACTTTCCAACACTTCCCAACCAGGGGGAAACGCCCCGTACATGGACCCTGAAACTGCACGTGGGAAGGCAGAGAAGGCATCTGATATATGGAGTTTTGGTATTATGATGGCGCAGATCTTAAAACAGTGGTCTGCCCTGGCCCAACATGGAGGAAATGGCACGTTAGGCCTTCTGCTACAATGTAGGAGGGTATGATGAGAGTTTCGTGCCTCAGCTGGACGGCCGAATTTCAACTGAGGCGAGGAAAATCATCATGTGGTGCTGCAATCGTGAATCATCTAAACGGCCTACTGCAGAAGAACTCTGGGATGTTCCCTACTTTAGGCAACTGAATGCGTTGACAAATGCATGCACCTGCCCCGACCCTACTTGCAAGTCGTCTTGAGGGGCGCCTTTAATTCTCACTTCGTTTGCATGGATCTCGATTGAAGCCCGTTAACCCACACTTCCCGATCTCTCCTTTCTGGGGGACTTGGGCCAAACGGCGCCAAGGCTTATGATTGACGCACGAAATGCATTAGTCTCTAACCACCCAAAAAAAAGAAAAAATGTAGTGTATGAAAGAGGAGGGTCACCAAGAGGAGGTGGGTGGTGCTGTTTGCCGCTTTGGAGCGCTTACATTTTCTCGTGCATACGATTTCTCTACACACTTCCCGCTTCACTTGATCTTTTACCTTCTTTGTAACTCAGTAGAATGTCTTCCATAGTTAGTCAGCTGGGTGATGTCATCCTCAGCGCGTCAGTTGTGTTTCTTACGCTTGGCGTTGGGTGTACGTTCGTTATAGTGCTTTGGCTTTTGATTTGGAGAACAACACTGAGGGAGGTGCCATTCTTCCAGGAGCTTTGCAAGACGTTGTTGCAGCCCGTGAGTCGACCAACGAATTCAAGAGCCCAGAAACGTGCCATCCGTTTTCACTGACACTTTTTGCAGGAGTTACCTTCAAAGGGTAAATTCAGATCCCTCAAGTGAATGTGAGGTATCATCTATATTTCTTTCCTTTCTCCTCCTCCTTATTCTGTGCCCCTCCCACCTATCCTAGGAGGTGTGACTGACAGCGGCGGCTTAGATCAGCCTGCACATTTCTCGTTTTGTGTGCCCGATGCACCGTGTCGTGGCCACAACGCAGCGGAGAGTGCGTGTCTGAGGGAAAGACTGTGACGTATGTAAGAATTGTGCGCCTGTTTGCAAAATCACTGTTGAAAGCCCAATATACTCTATTGGGAAGGGGGTGTTCTTCTTTGAATGAGTTTTCTACACGTGCAAAAGAACGCCGGACGTTTGTGAGTGAGGTTGACTTTTTTTGCATGGATGCGAGAAGTGAAATATGAAGATATATATTAAGACATCATGGAATGCGAGTGGTGAGGGTCGTAAACACGCTGTCTTCCGATTTTCCTTTTTGCAGTACGCTTGTCTTGATGCCTTACCATATATTGAAACGAAAAGAAGGCATTAACATATATACATATGTACTGATTTCCCTTTATATATGATATATATGGTGCGTTAGATTAACCTTTCCGCCTTCTTCTTGTTTTATCTGCAGTATATATGTTTTGTTGCCGTTTCGTATGAAAACACGAAATGACTTGTGTCGGGTAGTTTCCTCATTAAGACTGTTGCTTTGCTAGGGGCCAACGCAGGCGCATGCGTTAAAACGCTACCTTTCACAGCGTGCGAGGAGTTTGGCATCCGGACTTGCACCCGAGGTAATGCAAACATCACTGTGACACTCATAAGAAAAGGAACTGGAAGAGAGAGACTTAGAGGCAAAGGCATTGCATCATGCATGTTTCTCGCACTTGCACTCTCGACGAGATTTAAATCTGAAGAATAAGAGAAGCTTTGCGATTTTGTGAGTTTAAGGAATTATTATTTCTTTGTATGGGTGATGCATGTTTCTCTTCTAAGCTTGCCTTCATAGCTTCCGGAGCGAAACTGTGCGGTGTGGTTGTCTATCCATTATTATTTTTTTTTTTCATGTGAAAAACACGTTGCAGCTTTCGAAGCAAGACGTTGTGTATGCCCTCTTCATGGCGTCACCGATCCATGAGAGTTGCAGTACATGTGTATGAAACTGTTGTGAAGGTGAATGAGGGTCGCCTTCACACAAGTCTCCTTCTGCCTCAGAAAAGTGTGTCTTTGTTGCTGTCTCTATGGAGGTGATGTGGGATCGGGAAACCTCATTCCATGAATGGGCAAGGCATGTATTACATATCTATAAATATCTCACTCTTTTCTTTTCACTAGTGTCGCTTAGAAATCATGGCCAAACCGAATTTTTGCAGTTGGATTTGCGCCTTGGCGTAGTGTTTTTCTCTTTTCTTTGTTTTGGTATGCTATTGTTTTTGGTTGGCGTGCCGCTCCAATTGGGTGTGCTGCATGCACCGCTGAGAGCCTCGAGCAAACGCCGTTGGCGCCTCTCTTTTGTTGGGTTGCCGTCCTGGGCACATGTGCCTGTTCTGTCTTGTTCGGGATGCACGCACTGATCGGGCAGTCTGAGTCTACGGCTGCGCTGGCGTGTCGCCCTCGCTTGTGAGCGGAACGAAGCAGCAGGAAAGGGGGTTGCATGCATCGTTTTTTATTTTATTTTTTAAAAATAAATTACGCCCAACTCCTGCTGCAGTGCACTGAGGGAAGTGGGCGGCGTTGGGGAGCTTGTGGTGGCCGTCATGGGAGGTCTCACCGGCATGCGCACTGCGTGTTGCTGCTGGCGGGGTTTGAAGGGGCTGGGCGGGGGAGACGGTAAGCGAGGTGCTTATGAATTTGTTTTTTATTGTTTGATTTCTGTGGGAGGCGTCCCACACTGCGGACTCCCCGTGCGGGTGCGGGTGGGTGTTTCTTCGGGCTGCGCACAACAGTCGCTGCCACCGCCGTCTTCTTTGCGGTTGTCGTCTCTCGTGGGCGGTGGCGAGTGTGTGATCGTGCGGCCCACGCGTTTGTCGGTGCGGCCTTCGTTATGGGTTCTCGCTCTTCTTTGCAGGGTGCCCAACTGTGAGCGCGGGCAGTGCCCATCGTTTTATTTTATTTTGGTTTCACCTTATTTTTTTCCCCTCAACGCGTTCGGAAGGAAATAGAACAAACGCTACTTGTTGTTGTGCACATTGAAAAACTCTGCAGTCACCACCAGTAACACACACACACACACAATCGTCGCGGCCTGAGCGTATCCACCACAGGCAGAGAGAGAGAATGAGTGAGCAGTGGCACATGCTTAACATGTGCCGTCATCTGTTTTCTTTTTCAGTGCTTCTTCTCTGCGTGTTGTTGTTATGCTTTGGAAGTACGGCTGTGCACTCTGAGGAGAGAAGTACGCCAAAAGACGTGCAGCCGCCAGAGGGTATCGATCTTTTTGTGCCTAATCGAACGATTGTGGAGGCACAAGGTGAAAATTATACAGTGAATTATTTTGTCTCACCTTCCCTTGCCAGTGCTGGTGGAGTGTTGGTTGCACTTGCCGAGGGTCACAGCGACTCTCAACACGCCCATCAGAAAGAACCTTGGCCCGTTTATGTTGATGCTGTGGCGGGGTACATTGACTATGCGGAGAACTGGTCGTCTTTTGTCGCTAAGGTCCGACTAAACAAATGGAAGGCGTACGACATCTTTAACACGACCACGCAAGAGGAGCATAACGACCGTGTGAGATATGCGTACAAACCCACAACAATTGCAAAGGGCAACAAGGTCTTCCTACTTGTGGGGGGCTATCATCAGAAGTACGATCCTTCATCGAAGAGATGGATTAAATACTCAAAGGATCTTGTTTTGCTCGTGGGTGAGGCCACGCAAGATAAAGTCATTCAATGGGGCGAACCCACCTCGCTTTTGCCACAGATCGAGCCATCTGCTAAACAACGTGGCCTGGAGCAGTTTGTTGGTGGTGGTGGCTCAGGCGTTGTGATGGAGGATGACACGTTTGTGTTTCCTGTGACGGCGAGAAGGACAGGATACAAGGAACTTGTCTCCATGATCATTTATTCGAAGGACGACGGCAAAAATTGGTTGCTTTCACATGGGATGCTCCCAGCGGATTGCACTGACCCCCTCATCGTTGAGTGGGAGCAGGGGCAGCTTGTCATGGTTGTTCAACGTGATTCTCTCTTAAGGGTGTTTGAGTCGAGGGACATGGGGGCAACGTGGAGGGAGGCTGTCAGGACACTCACACGCGTGCATCCCAGGTTTTTACCAGACGCTTTGCGAACAGCTGAGAGAGTGGGGTCCGTCACCACTGCACTCATTGCTGGAAAGAAGGTCATGCTGTACACTCAGAAAGGGATTCTCCGTGATGACCCCTTGCAAGCCACCGCGCTCTACCTTTGGGTCACTGACAACAACCACACGTTTCACGTCGGGCCCATTTCCATGGATACTACAGAGAAGCCGATGTTTGGCAACACCCTGCTGTACTCTAACGATGCATTGCACCTTTTACAAGAGAGGATCAGTACAACGACCATAGGTCTGTTTCTTGCTCCCCTAACAAAGCAGCTGAAGACGATCACGTCCGTCTTGGAGACTTGGGCAAAACTGGACTCCTTCCTCTCGAACTCGTCTGTGCCCACGGCCGGTCTGGTTGGATTTTTGTCGGATGCATCGGGTGAAGGAACTTGGAACGACGCGTACCGTTGCTTGAATGCAACTGTGACGAATGCAAAGAAGGTCAGAGATGGCTTTAAGTTCACGGGGTCCGAATCATACGCCATGTGGCCTGTGAACATGTGGAAGTACCACTATATTGACAGCTTTGTGAATTACGCATTCACGCTTGTGGCGACGGTGAGGATTCATCAGGTTCCGAACGAGAGCATTCCTCTGCTGGGCGCGGGCCTGGGGGACAATGAAAACACTACGTTTGTGGGGCTGTTGTACACGACGGAGAAACGATGGGGTACAGTCTTCAACGGCATGACAACAACACACAACAGCGCTTGGAAGCCGGGGAAGGAGTACAAAGTGGCGCTCATGCTGCAGGGCAATGAGGGCTCCGTGTACGTGGATGGCGTGCTTGTGGGGAATACTAACAAACTACCAATCCTTAAGTCACGGAGGCATGATATCTCTCATTTTTACTTTGGTGGCGGTAAAAACAGCAGTGTGACAATAAAGAACGTCTTTTTGTACAACCGCCCACTGAGTGAGAAGGAACACAAGGGTCGACGATTCCGATGCGTCTGGGAAACATGCAGACGACGGCTACGATACCTATGAGCAACGTGCAGGCAACAGCTCCACGCGTGCTGATGTTTTCCGGGTGTCAATTCTGCTGCTGCTATTGGGGCTGTGGGGCTTTGCGGCGTTGTGCTGAGTGGACCTCGGTGGAGGGGAGTTTGTGCTTCCACTGAGATCATCTCCGCCTCTCCACCCACGTTTTAAACTAAATAAACTCTCATGTAGACACGTATTTTATTTTATACCTCGTTTTTTTTTATACCCCAAAAATTGCGCTCTTCTTGAAGGAGAATCAACGTTTTTTTTTTCTGTGTTCGTTTGTTCAGTGTTTTGTTGGTTTACTGCTTTACGGATGTGTTTTTTTTTGTTGTTTTGTCGGTTTGTTCTTGGCGACTGCGTTGGACCTGCGTTTTTGCCCTGCAGTGGGAGACATGCTTCACTGCGCCCCTGCACTGCAGTCACCACGGGAGGGAGCGGGGCTCTCTCTTTTACGTCCTGGTTTTTGGTGGGTGCGGATGTGTGCCACGGTGCCGGCTGACGTGCAGGCCACTGAATTCGTTCGAAAAGACACTGAGAAAAACAACTAACCGCTTTTCTTGTGCGTCTGCGGACGTTCTCGGCATTGTGTGTCCGCCGATGCGAGAAGGAAGTAATTAAGGAATGAAAAAGGGTGAGAGCCACAGCAACGCACTGCAGTTCCCTGTGAAAGTTAAACGGTGTCTGGACACCGGGGCCTTTCAGTGGTTTAAATGAATATATCTTTTTTTAAAATATGTGGCCAAAATGTGAGTGGAACTGTGAGGATCGCACAGGGGCCTTCCACGACATTTTGTTTTTGTTTTGTGAAGACGTTTTTAGGAGTAATTTTTGTTATTGTTTCAACGATAGTACGAGGGCCTTCCGCGACAATATTTTTGTTTCTGGTTTTGTGAAAATGTTTTTTGAAGTAATTGTTTTTGTTTTTTGGTAAATCATTTTTATTGTGTGTTACTAGTTAGCATGCTGCGGTCCCTTTTTGAGTTTTAGTCATCTTTTTTTTCATCCCTTGCGTCCTGCATCTCTTCTGTGTGTGTGTATGTGCGTCCTCACACGCTTTGCTCCTCTTTCTTCTCTTTCAATTTTTGTATCTGCAGGCACACACACATACACGATATATATTTACTGCAGTGTGCATGGAGGATGCCGTCGTAGTTGGTGCTGGCAGTGCCGCCTGTGGCTATGAAGAGGCCGAGACAACAACAAAGGAATAGTTGTGTGCTGTGACTCATTCTTCCTTTCCTTGCGAAGCAAGTGCACTGCGTGTGGGAGTGTTGCTCTGAGTGGCGTCGTGTCTTGCGCACGGTGTGCAGTGGCGCAGTGCTGTCGATGCCGCGCTTTTCGATGACTGTTAGCCCACTTCCCGTTTGTGTGTGTGTGGCGGTGTGGTTGTTCGCGTTGGGTGTCTTGCGTTGGTTGCGGGGCTTTGCGGTTATTTCTTGCGGCTGGCGGAGGTAAGCTGGCGTTGATCGCTGCTCTTCTTCATTGTGGCTGAGTTGTCTGTGTTTTGTGGGGGGTTGGTTTCTCTTCATCTGCAAAATGACGATGCGGCAACCTTAACTATCTGCAATAACGCTGCTCGGCCTTTTTTCATCGTGGACACTTATGTAACTGTGCAGTAAAGTGAGTTTTGGTTTGTGGAACTGTTTTATTGAGCGCTCGGCGAATGCAATCCCTGAAGGGCATTTTGGGCCCCAATGCGCGGGTTAGGGTTAGGGTTAGGGTTAGGGTTAGGGTTAGGGTTAGGGTTAGGGTTAGGGTTAGGGTTAGGGTTAGGGTTAGGGTTAGGGTTAGGGTTAGGGTTAGGGTTAGGGTTAGGGTTAGGGTTAGGGTTAGGGTTAGGGTTAGGGTTAGGGTTAGGGTTAGGGTTAGGGTTAGGGTTAGGGTTAGGGTTAGGGTTAGGGTTAGGGTTAGGGTTAGGGTTAGGGTTAGGGTTAGGGTTAGGGTTAGGGTTAGGGTTAGGGTTAGGGTTAGGGTTAGGGTTAGGGTTAGGGTTAGGGTTAGGGTTAGGGTTAGGGTTAGGGTTAGGGTTAGGGTTAGGGTTAGGGTTA